TTAACTGATATAAGTTTTAGCTCAGGTACTCCATAAATATACTTTTAAGCAGCCTACTTATACTTTTAGTACTTACAGAGAATATTAGTCTGGAGTCAAAAGACTCATGATTTACCATACAGTTGTTTAGGCTGGGCCCCAGCAGAGTTAACAGCATTTAAAGTCATGGTGACCCCACAGATCAGTTATGCTCAGTATGTGTGTGTACTCCAGATACACTCCCCCTAAAGGATTAATTAGTCCTCACTCATGACTGGAACTGGGTGCTCTTGTCATGAGTCCTGGAATCCACCAAAAAATTATATGCAGCTGAGGTACATGGTAACCAGGGCTGAGTTCACCTCATGGAGGGCTGGGCCATACTAATCATATGCACCAGGCTGAGAGAAGGCACAACAGAAGGATTCTAGGTGAACTGTTTGGGGCCCTTTTTTAGTGATGTTTGCAAGACATTTAAAGCTGATGGAGAATCAGTAATCACTGGAAACTGGGGTGGGGAGAAGTACTGCTCAGCTGTGGGAGTGAAGAGGAAGTAAAAATGTATGCAATGTAGGGGCTCACTATGACCTGAAAAAGAGTGCGCGGAGGGAGACTGAGCACAATGTGAACTAATATATATCTTATTCAGATGGGCTGCGCTAACCCATCCTTGTGGTATGTTTGCCCATTATAGTTCTCCTCTAGGTGCCTCACAATAGATTCTTTGAGAGCCTACTTCATGTACTTTCCAGGTACTGAAGTTAGACTAGCTGGTCTGTAATTCCATGGAACTTTCTTCCCCCTTTCTTAAAGACAACCACTATATTTTCCCTTTTCCAATCATACAGTGCCTCAACCTACACCCACAAGTTCACAAAGATGATAACCAATGACTCCAAAATACCTCAGACAATTTCTTCAGTATCTTAGGATGCATTCCACCTGACCCTGCCAACTCAAAAGCATCTAGCTTTAATCCCTATCCTGTCACTACGCCTTCCCTATCTTTGCTGCCAACTGTTTTCATTGTCTGGTAGCTGACCTTATTTGTCAAAATAAGGCATTAAATATTTTAGCCTTCTCTGTATCATCCATAACTACATTGCTTTCTGAAGTCCAGAAGGGACCTATGTTTTCTTTGGTCTTCCATTTACTTTTGATATATTTGTAGAATCCCTCTTTATTGCCAGCTGCATCTCAAATCATGCCTTGGACTGCCTAATTTTCCTCATGCATGCTTGTGCAATGGTCTTACGCTCTTCCCTAATACTACAACCAAGATTCCATTATTTGTAGAATTGCTTTTTGAGTTTACACTTATTGAAGAGATCACCAAGCTGGTCTCCCGTTGCACTTCCCATTCTTCCATCACACTGGGGTAGCTTGCTCCTGCATCCTTAATACAGTTACCTTAAAGTACAGCCAGGTCTTTTGGACTTATTTTCCTCTCAGAACTGCCCCCCAGAGGATCATACCCTCCAGGTTCCTGAGTTTGTTGACATTTGCTTTTTGAAGTCTGGTGTCTTTATTTTGCTGCTCTCCTTGCTTCCTCTCCTTAGCATCTTGAACTCCATCATTATGTGGTAAGTGTCATCCAAGGTATCCTCCACTTTCACATTCTCAACCAATTCCTCTGTCTGTGATCACTCAGCAAGTTGAAAAGAACTTCCCCCCAATTGCCCTCTCTACCATCTGTATCAAAAGTTATCCTCATCACACTCCAAGAATTCCCTGGATTGCTTGTACTCATCTGTGCTTCCTTCCCAGCACATGTCCTAATAATTAAAGTCTCTCATGAGACCCAGGTCCTATGATTTGGAAGCTGTTTAAAGAAGTCCACCTCTTTCTCCTGGTTTGGTATTATATAGCATATGCCCACCATGACATTCCCCCTGCTGCTCTTCCCTCTGACTTTTACCCAGAGGCTTTTAACAGGCCTCCACTTGATACTGAATTGGAACTTCAGAACACATGTATGTTGTCTTTATATATACGGCAACACCTGCTTCCCCCCGTCTGTCTTACCTGAACAAGTTATACCTGTCCATGACAGTTCTCCAGTCATATTAACTACCAAGCCTCATCTCAGTAACCTCAATTACATCATAATCCTGTGACTGTACTTGGAGCCCCCCTATTTTTCCTGTTTATTTTCCATCCTGCTGACATTATTATATAAACACTGATTGCCCTACCTTCTCTATGAGAACACTGCTAAGACTTCTGCTATTGCTTCCCCTTATTGATAATCACTTTTGTAAAATATTCAGAGAATGTCTAAAACTGCAAGCACAGATCAGACTTGATTCAAAAGCCAATTTTGACAAACTTTGGAGGAAGCAGGACCTGGGTTTAGTTTGGGTGCAACTTTAACAACAGTAAATGATCTTTTCAATAATAAGAAGCTGTAGACTTGCTATATTGTATCACTAATTTGGATCTCCAGAAAGCTGATATATTATACTTAAAGTACACAGAGAGTTTCAGAAGGATTTGTGGCCTACCAGAGTGGATTTATCAGATTTAAACTGTCAATTGACAATATTATGTGTTCTTCCTTTTCTGTTCCTGCTATCCTCCTCTGAGGGCCTAATGTGATTCTCAACCACAGTACCATGGAATGCCTTGATATCCTTTGCAGGGTGCAAGTATAATATTAGTAGCACTGTTAGGTGTACAAACATGATTCCCAAGGTAAACCCAGAGATTTCAAATAGGAATCTATGGTGTTAAAAATATTCTGATCTGTTGCAGTCTTTCTGAATTAGAATCACAATCCTAGAAAATTAGGGTTGGAAGGGACTTCAGGAGGTCATCTAATCAAACCCCATGGTCAAACCAGGAATTATTTCCAACGGAAGATTTGCTCTATTTCTGTAATCAAAAACAAGTGAAAGCTAAGAGTTGTCATTTTCTGAGGGGTGCCTTAAATCAGTTTAGGGGTGCCATGAGTATAACAAGGGGTAACTTGAGCTTTAAAAGTTTGAGAACCACTGGCCTAGGCCCTAGGTCTTTGACATAAGGCCAAAGCACAATTGGATATGCAACTAGTAAGGGATGTGTAGGGTAACAAGAAGGGCTTCTACAAGTATGTCAACAACAAAAGGAAGATTAGGGAGGTCCCTTACTAAATGCAGGAAGCAACCTAGTGACAGATGATGCAGAAAAAGCTGAAAATTCTCAATGCCTTTTTCATCTAAGTCTTCACAGGCAAGGTCGGCTCCCAGACTATTGTGCTTGGCAGCACGTGAGGTGAGTAGACAATAGTGGCAAAAGAACAGGTTAGAGACTATTTAGAAAAGTTGGACATGTACAAGTCCATGGAGCCAAATGCAATGCATCCAAGGGTACTGAGGGAATTGGCAGATGTGACTGCAGTCCTGCTGGCCATTATCTTTGAAAACTCGTGGTGATTGGGAGAGGTCCTGGACGACTGGAAAAGGGCAAATATACTGCCCATCTTTAAGAAAGGGAAGAAGGAGGATCCAGGGAACTACAGACTGGTCAACCTCACCTCAGTCCCTGGAAAAAACATGGAGCAGATCTTCAAGGGATCCATTGCTAAGCACTTGGAAGACAAGGTGATTAGAAACAATCCACGTGGATTCACCAAGGGCAAGTCATGACTGACCAACCTCTGACTGCCCTCTATGATAAGGTGACTGGCTCTGTAAATATGGGAAGACCAGTTGATGTGATATACCTTGACTTTAGCAAGGCTTTTGATATGGTCTCCCACAACATTTTCACAAACAAGCTAAGGAAGTATGGGTTGGATGAGTGGACTGTAAGGTGAACAGAAAACTAGCTGGATCGTCAGGCTCAGAAGACAGTAATCAGTGATTCAATATTTAGTTGACAGCTGGTATGAAATGGAGTGCCCAACGGGTTGGTCCTGGGGCTGGTTTTGTTCAATATCTTCATCAATGACCTGTAAGATGGAATGAAGCGTGCACCCTCAGCAAGTCTGCAGATGACTCCAAGCTGGGGGGAATAGTAGATACACTGGACAGTAGGACTAGGACTCAGAGACTTTGATAAACTGGAGGATTGCACCAAAAGGAAGGAAAAATCCTAAGCACCAGTACAGGCTGGGGACCAACTGGCTAAGGAACAGCTCTGTGGAAAAGGACCTGGGAGTTAGAGTGGACAATAAGCTGAATATGAGTACTGTTTGCAACTGTGTGCTCTTGTTGCAAAGAAGGCTAACAGCATAATGGGCTACATTAGCAGGAGTGCTGCCAGCAGATCAAAGGAAGTTTTATTCTGCTCTATTCAGCACTGGTGAGGCCACATTGGGAGCATTCTGTCCTGTGTTGGGCCCCCCACTACAGAAAGGATGTGGACAAGATGGAGAGAGTCCAGAGGGCAAAAAAAATGGTTAAGGGGCTGAGGCACATGACTTCTGAGGGGAGGCTGAGGGAACTGGACTTTCTTAGTTTGGAGTAGAGAAGACTGAGGGCAGATTTAACAGTAGCCTTTAGCTACCTGAACAGTAGTCCAAAGAAGATGGAGCTATACTGTTCTCAGTGGTGGCAAATGACTGAACAAGGAGTAATGGTCTCAAGTTGAAGCAAGGGAAGTTTAGGTTAGATGGTAGGAAAAAAATTCTCACTGGAACAGGTTACCCAGAGGGGTTGTAGAATCTCCATCCTGAGAGGTTTTGAAGACCTGCTAGACAAAGCCTTGGCTGGGATGATCTGGTTGGGGGGATGGCTCTGCTCTGAGCCAGGGGTTGGACTAGATGACCTCTTGAGGTCCCTTCCAACCCTAATTTTCTATGATTCTAAAAAGAGATGAATTAATTTTAACTTGAAAGCTTAAATGTGAATCTGCATAAATTAAACCTGTGTTCTTAAAAAAGTGCATAAAACAATTTCATTAAAATAAAATTAATGAATTAATGAATAAAATTCATGAATGTGATTAATACAACACATTCAAGGTGAAACACCTGTTGACACTTCTCATGAAAAATAAAAGACACAAACATTACAACAAATAATAGAAGAAATCCTTACTTTCATTCTCAAGGTATTCCTTCCACATAAAAACTGTATCATTGAAGTACGGGGCAACATATTTGTCAAAAGCTGAAGTATTTTCCTTTGGCCACAGCAAACATTTATGCTTCAAGTGGCCCATGAACAGCTGCAGCCCTATTAGTGCAAATACACTCAGACAAAAAACAGTCAGAATCATTACATCTGAGAGTTTCTTCACAGACTGAATCAAAGCTCCCACAATAGTCTTCAAGCCTGCAAGTAGAAAGGGAATTTCAATACAATAGTAAACATTCACATTAACTATAAAATAACATGAATTGCTCCAGCACAATTAAACATTTCATGCATAGCTTCACATTAAAAAAAGGAATAACTGGATGTTTTTGCATGAATGGAACATATGATAAAGCAGGGGTCAGCAACCTATGGCCCATGGACCAGATCCAGCTAGTGAAGAGTTTGGATCCATCCCATGATGGCTGGAAAGCAGGCACCCTCAGGGTCCTACTTTTCAGTGGAGTAGGCACCCTCAGGGTCCTTCTTCTTGATCATGCTGTACGTTTTGATGCATTCCTGTCCTGTGCCCCACCATCCATCTGCACAACAGCTGTTGACACCCTGGCCCTACCTGATCTCTATACTTGCCATTCAACTTGTCTGTCAGCATGCTTGTTGGCCACAGGAATCTGTGACACTTGGTGATAACAGTAACGGAACCGTGAGGAGGGAGAGGGGTTACCATGAGAGAGCAAAGAGTACTATGGAAGCATTAGGGGATCAGTGGCCTATGGTGCCAGCCACGTTGCAAGCTACAGCCTGCCATTTGTAAAGGTTGCTGATCCCTGTTCTAAAGCATTTGTTTTCACAGATAAACAAATGACTTAGTTATTCATGCTCTTCTGTTCATGAATTTCATGAAGAGAAAAATTCTCTCAACTATAAATATTTTTGATGCCTCCTGCTTCAAACCTGCTCTTTTTAATTACACAATTCATGAGTATTGATACAATTAAAATTGTGATACAGTGTAAAAGTTAATGATTGTTTTACAGTCATAACCATTCCAACTGGTTTGGTGGAGAAAGGCATCTTAAAATAAACAATACTTCATGCAATGCCCATGCTGTTCTAAACCATCTTAATCCTTATTTTACTAGTGTTTCAACTTCTAAAATTGATTTAATCCCAAGTTTCTGAAATAAATAGTAAAACATATTTTAACAAGAAAAAATAGTTTTGTTTCTAAGGAGGGAGAGAAAATTTGACTTTAAGAGATGCAAATTATACAGGTTGCATGTTGCAATTTTTTGACAAAAATATTAAACTAAAAGTTTGGTAGTTTTAAAAGAAAAATTAGACAAATAATCAAATTTAAGTCAAAACTATGTTCTAGATACCTTTTATATAAGTACCATTAAAAAGGCATGGAAAGCAACAAGACTTGGATTGAAAAATGTGAATTGAGCTTCCTTGGAATTAAAGTCAGCCTCAGTTTCACCTAGCTCTCACCTGGAATGACTGATATTGTTTTCAAAGCTCGGAGAACTCTGAATGTTCTCAACGCTGAGACATTGCCAAGGTCCACAAACTCTGTTAGATATCTGTAATAGGGGAGTTCACACACAAACACAATGACAGCACACACCATATTAAATAGTTAAAGATACAAGGGGCCTAACACTTTACACCAGTTACTTCTTACCTGGGATTACAGAAATAGTTTTCAAAGCTCTCAATACTCTGAAAGTTCGAAGAGCTGAAACATTGCCTAGGTTTATAAATTCTGTTACATACCTGTAGGATTAAATCACAGTTATTCAAAATTCAGACAGGGAGAATAATACTTACCTGGACCTTTTATCCAGATGTCTTTGGTGACTTTAAACAGATTATTTACATTCACATTTTCTTCTCTAACTGCAGTTTGTCCACTAATATATTTTAGTGACTATCAGTTAAATAAAAATGTCAAATGAAGTAAATCTATTATAATTTTTCTTTTGAAATCCTACTGTTATACCTAAGGTACACTGATTACATCAGCATTTCATTGGCACATGGGAGGAAACTGCTAGAGAAATTCCACCAGGATGTGAACAATTTTCACCCCTCCATAAAAATGATGCTTGAATACTCTACCCAGCAAATTCACTTATTGGACAACACTGTGAAAGTTTGCAATGGCCGTATTACCACCACATTGTATCAGAAACCAACAGACTACCACAGCTAACTCCACAACAGTAACTTTCCTAAGCACACCACTAGATCCATTGCCTAGAGCTGTGACCACCAACCAATGGATCTCGATCCACCGGTAGGTCTCAGAGCCTCTTGGAATCAATCCAAGGATGGGGTGGGGAGCCGAGTGCCTGTATGCATGTGCACGTGCCCCAGCCCAGCAGGTCAGTCCATGGGGGCAGGGGCTAGATTGTGGCCCCTGTGGTGAGGAACAGTGCCACAGAGGCAGAAGCAGGGGTAAATTGAGTGGGGCCCTAGCTGGGTGGGACTTACGTTCTGGAGAGGCATCCCCCCCAAATAATTTTTTCCTCCTTCTGCCTCAATTTGCCTCCACCCCCTTCCCTCCCCACACACTTATCTGCTGGGCTGGGGATGAGGGGCAGCGGTGCATGGTAGATCTTGGGTTGCTTTTAAATACCAAAGGTGATCTCCTACTTTAAAAGTTTGGAGACCACTGGCCTACAGCCAAGATCTACGTTCTGTTCTAATTCCACTGACTGGGATGCACACCTTATACATTCGGAGCAGGGCTTCCTACATTACAGTATAATCCCAAAATCATAGCCCTTTAAATCAATGGAGGCAGACTCAGACCTGCTTAAACCTGCTACAGTACCATCTAATACCAACAGAATTCTTCTGATAGTCATGTACAGCCTTCCATAAGAACACAAGAAATGCCATTTACTGGGTCAGACCATAGTTCCAATAGGCCCAGTGTCCTGTCTCCCACAGAGATGGTGAAACATTGAGAAGATGAGTATCAGGCAGTACTGTCACTGCTAGACCTGGGGGCACACCTGACAGTGGGAGGTGGCTAGACAGCAATTTGAGAGGTAAGTGCTGGAGCTGGAGAAGCACATGGCTGCCAACCCAGACAACCCGTCCCTCTTCAGAGAGTGTCAGGAAAGGCAGGAAGAGTTCCAAGCTCTACCACTGATTGACGGGGTACTCCACAGGTCACAGATCACAGGTACTTCACAGGCATTCAGTTTTGGTCCCCACTTCACTTGGTTTCTCCAGGTGCTGTACACCTCTGCAGATTGCAGAGTCAAGCTCAACTGAACACTGACGGAAACCATCCTGTTTCGGTGGGGAGTGTGTCATGGCTGCCTACTGTCAGGCCAGCTCTCTACCATTGCCCTTGAGTTGTCCCTTTGCTTCCTATACAAGTGGGTGGCAGGGCTGGTTCTCAAGGAGCCGGTCATGAGAGTGGTCCTGTTAGTGTACACTGACAATGTGTTCCTCCATCCAGGACCCAGGAACCTAGCACCTATGGCGGCCTGCCAATCTATCTACTCAGCAGCCTCTTCTGCCTGGGTCAACTGGGTCAAGAGCTCTAGCCTGCTGCTGGGTGACAGGTGACAGATGGGCTTGCTCCTGCCCGTGCCACAAAACATGCAAGCAGGCTCACTGCTCTATCTGAGGGTCTACTTGTCCCCTAGTCACCCCTCTCCACCAGAGAACTGGCACCAGCTACAGGACAGGGTGAATGAGCGGTTGTAGGCATGGGCGGTTCTGCTGCAGTGCATCTGCCTTCACGGAAGGGTGCTGGTTATCAACCAGCTGACCCTGTCCATACTCTGGCACCATTTCAACCCCCTGTCTATGTCCCTGGAGCCCCCAACCACTCTCCAGAGATGGGCAGAGGGTTTCTTCTGATGTGGGTGGTATTGAGTCTCTGCAGGTTCCCTGAGCCTCCCCTTGTGGAAGGGAAGCAGGGCCTGGTTTGCCTCCACAGCCAAATCCTTCAGGCCCTGCAGAGTTTCATATACAGTGCCAACAGCCAGGCGATGTGGTGCCTAATAGGTCATACCTTCCTCTGCTGCCTCAAGGCCTCTGATAGGACCAGCAGCATTTTTACCTATGAGGTCTCCCCAACCAGAACCTGGAGAAGCTATCCGATTTCTACCAGGACCTCCTCAGAGCCTAGGGGCTAGTTTCATAGTTGGTAGGGTCAGAAGAGACCTGAGCAGATGATCGAGTACAACCCCTTGCCAAGGGCAGGAAAGAATGCTGGGGTCAAACGACCCCGGCAGAGTGTCTATCTAGCCTCCTTTTGAAGGCCCCCAGAGTAGGAGTGAGCACCACTTCCCTTGGAAGTGGTTCCAGATCCTAGCTGCCCTGTGAAGTAGTGCCTCCTGATATCTAGCCTGAATCTACTCTCCATCAACTTATAGCCGTTATTCCTTGTTACTCTAGATAGTGCTTGGGGGAACAGGGACTCTCCCTGCTGGTCTCCCTTGGACAGTTTATAGACGGCCACCAGATCCCCTCTCGTCCTTCTCTTGTGGAGGCTGAGCAGGTTCAGGTCTCATAGCCTCTCCTTGTAGGGCCTGCCCTGCTGCCCCCTGATCATGCGAGTGGCCCTCCTCTGGACCCTCTCCATGTTGTCCACACCCCTCCTGAAGTGCGGCCCCCAGAACTGGACACAGTACTCCAACTGTGGCCTGACCAAAGTCATATAGAGGGGGAGGATCACCTCCTTGGACCTGCTCGTGATGCATCTGTGGATGCATGACAAGGTGCGGTTAGCCTTCCTGTGTCCCCACATTGGTGGCCCATGTTCATCTTGGCGTCTATAATGACTCCAAGATCCTTTTCTGCCTCTGTGCTGATGAGAAGGAAGTTCCCCAGCCTGTAGGTATGCTGCTGGTTCTTTTTCCCTAGGTGCAGTACGCTGCACTTGTCAATATTGAACCTCATCTTATTCTCATCCACCCACCCCTGTAACCTGTCCA